AATATTGAAGAGCTTCTGCTGCATGATTCCTGATGCCTTCCCTGCAATGCCTTCCTTGCAATGGTGGGCTGAGATGTCTCTGAATCTATGAGTGACGGTGCACATCATAGTCAGAGCAACACAGATGCATGTGGCTAACACCCCATGCTGCCATTAGACTGGGAGCTTTTACCTCTGTGGGTTATTCAGACTAGTTTTCCCGACATGTAGCTCTTGGGCATTTGAAATGAGTAGGTCCAAATTATGGTGTATACTGTGGATTTCAAAGACTTAGTATGAAAAGAGTAAAATATACATTTTTAAATGGTTACGTGTTGAAATAGTAATTTTTGTATGAGTTGTTAAAGTAATATTATAACTAAATTTGTTTCTTTTCTCTCTCTCATTTTTTAGTATTGTTAATAAGTAATTCAAATTGCATAAATGTCTTGTGTTATATCTTTCTAGGATAACATTGTCATATGGCTTGCAGAGGGTTTCTTCTTACTGTTATTATGATTTGGGGGGCATGGTGGGGACACCTTTCAGAGGCATGAAATAATGCCTCTGAAATGAAATAAGAATGAGAATTAGAGCCAGATGCACTGATCAGTTGTAGCTACATGATATGTGTAAATTTCAGATGTTTAAGGTTTTGTTCTAAAAACTATTTTGGAAGATAAAATACTCAGGTTCAGTATTTTCAAACTGATTCAGTATTGACACTCTAGGCTGCTTTCTGTGGTTTCTTGTTTTGTGACTTGTCACGAGTATCCTAGATTCCCAAATATCCATAGATTCCTGTTTGCATTGTAGTGACAGTAAAAAACATGACCTATAAAAATATTTACAGAATGGGCTGTTTGGTTAGTATGCTGGAGAGTAACGACGCTAACGCCAGTCTTTCTACTGCTATTTGAAATCTGGGTTGCTTTACGGCTGTACCAGCCCGCAAGAAAGGGAACACGAACATAATGAACAGTAATTAATATAGGCATAATATTTAATGATTCAGGAACTCTAGATGAATAGTTTCAGCAATGAGCTCTACATGAAAGGACGTGATTTCAAGCATGTTTTAAAATTAAATTTTTATTAAAACATAATTTAACTTGGAAAAGTCATATTTTGTCAATAAATCTTAAAAGTCTCTATATTAAAGTGCCTCTTCTTTTTGCCACTAGTCACAAGTGGTCCATACTTTACTTATATCACCACTTCACAAATAAAGTGGTGTTCAATGGCTTTCTCCCTGGAGAGTTACCCTGCAATTGGCAATAGCAGAAAAACAAGCCCAAACCCTCCTAGCATGGGACACAATGTTTCTGTCAATCCATGTGCAGCATGACTTAAGTTGCTTGGAACCTTCTCTTATTCTAAGCTCAGGACAAGAATTTGAAATGCATACTGACCTATGAAAGTGAGAGAATTAACAATCTGGCTTACATAGACACAAGGAACTCTCAGTGATTCTAAGAAGGGATAGAGTGTCATAAGAAAGAAGACATAGGATGTGGGGCTGATTTTTTTCCTACGATTGGAAACCATGCCACCATTGGCAGATAGTATAGCAGAGACAGATGGCACAGCAGCTGCCGTGAAAGAAAAATGCCTTACTACTAGGTGAACCATGAAAAATAATGAGAAGGACTGCGGGAGAAGCGCGCACGCGCGTGCGCACCCCTCTGCTGTCACGTCTCCCTGTCGCCGCTAGAATTGTATTCTGTCAGGTGGCAGATTGCAAATGAAGTGCTCCACTTTCCTCCACTGACTGCACATTTGGAATTTATCACCATTCTCTTGATAGAACTTGCTTTTTGTCTTTTGATTTTGGGCAAGAATGGCAGGGATGGGCAGCAATGGCTAACGGGATACATGATGCCCATATACGAAAAAGAAGGTGCAACGACTGATCTTTTCCTGGCTCAATTGGTTGAAATTTGATATGCAGAAATTGGCTAAAACTCATCCTGGTTTATTTTAGATACACCCCCAACGAACACTGATTCATGGCATTTTAAACAGCTTGAAATGTAAATGTGACTTTGAGCTACCCAAAGCGCGCACACAGATGATCTTGACACTCACAGAGTTGGTGGCTGGAAGCCACCCAGTGTTTCATGCTGCTTGTTTTATTCCACTCCCTTGAGTAATCAGCAACAGGGAGGGGCTATTGATGTCGTGGCTGGGCTGCCTCATTGAAGAGCTGCTTCAGCCTCTCTAAAAGAATTGGCATCTTCATCGATTTAGAAAGGAATGTTTGTAATGAATTGAAGATCTACAAATGCTGAGGCTCTGGAGTTTTGATACATGTGCAATTAATATCTGCTTGGTAATTACTGCTGTGTGACTAATCGCAAATAGAAACGGGTCTAAGTTGTGATGTACTGAGATAATAAAATGTTTTTGTCGTTTTATCTGGAGGAGCTGAATAAGGGCTGTAGAGTTACACTGACTAACAGATAGTTACCAAGGTTCCAAGGCAGTTTTGGTAATATACAGCCTGTCTCATAGGCGTTTAGAAACACTAGTCATCCTTTAAGGTAAGCCTCGTTGTGCACGTGTAACTTTTACTCATGTGCAGCCATGCAGGATTTACAATCATTGCCAGCATGAATCTTAACATAGAATTTAGAAACAACTAAGGTATATCCCCCCAATCCCTGCATGTCGAGGAAGTAATCTTGTCTCTCTATTTCATTTTTTTTCTTTCTATTTTCCAGAGCACTTGCCTCTGTTAAAAGTAAAGCGGAAAAAAAAAAAAAAGAAAAAAAGAAAAAAAAAGTAAAGCAGAAAAGATTGTACAATCTGTGCTTCCATAATTAGAGTTCAACCCTGGTGTTTCTATCTGACCTATAAATTAGTGATGATAAATTACAAACAATTATAAAATATAAATTTATCAGAAAGCTAGAACAAGCTACATGGAAGCCATTTGGGACAAGTCTTCATGAGAACAGCCTGGAGAGCCTGGTCACTAAAACCAAGGCAGAGAAAACTCCAGAGGTTGGTGGCCTGACAGAGGTAGGTGTCTGGTCGAGAGTGGGGAGAGATGGAGGGGCTACCTTTCAGTACAAGGTGGTGATGGTTGCCAAGGGAGCCACAGAAGCTGATGCTTTGTTACTTACCCAGTAAGTGGGAATATCATTGTTTAACACTCTTAGTACAAGGACTCAGGAGGTAGCTTCCCACTTTATTTTGTGAAACTTTATTTGAAAATCTTAGGGAAAAACATAATTTTTTCCGATTTCAGGAGAGGTTAGATAATGCTTTTATTATAGACCCTAGCAGGTAACAACAATCTATTCTTTTTAAAAATACTTGGAAATTTCTTAACTAAATTTCAGCATACCATTGGTGTTTATACAAGAGACAGTTACTCTGTTAGCATCACATAGGTGGAAAATTTCCTTCTTTTACCCACATCCTGTATATTCTTCACTTGAGAGACACTTATAATATAGCTTTCTTTTTATAGATATAACGCAGGTTATATTTCCTGATTGAGGGTCTATAATATATTGCTAAAATTAAAGGTAAAGTAGGAGGCTGGAAGGGTGGAAACAGAAACTCAGCTATCTGCTATCCTGTGTAGGTACATGGTGTAACTGTAAAAGACACTATTCCAAAGAGGAAAATAGCCACCTGGTACTTCAAATGAGAAACAATTAGTCTTTGACAATCCAATGTTTTATTTGGTAGTTTTGCTGACTAAATGGCTTTAGTGCTCTGTTTGAATGTATCTTTGTAAATTGTGTGACAGCATACTATCATTAAAATAAATATCTCTAATACTGTTTATTATATGCTTATCAAACAGCCTGTGTTTTGACATATATATATATTACACATACATATATATGATATAACACAGATAATAATGTGTATATAGATGTATGTGTGCATATATAGTTTCTCTGTAGCTGGGAAAGACAAATGGCAATACAAATAGTTGCCTATAACATATGTTTGAAATGAGTGAAGACCTACAAAATGCAACTTAGAAAAATTCCTATGAACTTTAATCATTCATATTCTTCTTAATTTCCATAACCCAACAGTAACAATAAATTTTTACAAAACTTAATTTCTTATGGCATTATAAATAGTATAAATAGCTTTTTTTAATTATCAAAGACAAATTTACCTTTAGTGTAATTTAATGTGGATTACATTATTTGAATTGTTAAAAAAATTGATAGTTCAAATGTTGTAAAACTTAAAAACAAAGCCAAAAATTTCCTTTTCATCTTGAAATATTTCTATTTAACTAGCTGGAGTTGTCTTTTCTAGTTGGGTGTCCAAAACCATCTTAGTTCTCAGTCATCCCAGGTAGGACTGGCAAACGGGCACAATTAAAGAAAATGTGGCTTTAGGAATGTTCCAAATGCTTTCACAGGGGACAAGCTGTGGTCTTCTGACAGAGGGTGATGGTGGGAGGGTGTGGGAGGGGGCTAGGAGGGGGCACAGCTTGCAGAGAACTAAAACCAATCTGCAAAGAAGAGCCTTATTAAGCAGTTCGCCTGACCAGTGCCTGCTCGCACACAGCACTCTCAGCAGTTATCACGCAGGATTGGAAACTAATCAGACTTAGCATCATTCTAGAAAAGGAAGCTCCTTAGAGGAGTGCCTCGGAAACGGCGGTTGTATTGTAAACCCATCTGAGTAATGTAATCGCTTTAGTTGATGAAATCATGAAAGTGAAATGAATCTGAAGAGATGAGTACCTAGCAACTAAAAAAAGCCACTGAGAATAAAGGTAAACGAGGAAGTTAGAAGAAGGAAGAGGAGAAAGAGGAGGAAGAAGAGGAAGAGTATGGGGGGGAGGAGAAAAATCGTACATAGTAGCCTATTGGCTTTCGGAGTCAATAAAGAGGCTAAAAGACATTGGAAAGGTTTTACTTTTAAAATTCCAGCTTAACGATCTGAACATACTTCATTACTTACTGTAGTAGAATCAATCTTCAGGCTAGGACCAACAATTCTGTAGCCTCTTCTTCTTATTAAATTCCTTTACTCACCTTCCATGGGGGTGTTGCTGTCTGGGCGATTTGCAAAGACCACGTCCACATATTCTAGTTGCAGCCTCTGGAGGGAGCCTTTCAATCCTACAGCAGAAACAGAAAACAAATATAATCAAAGGCCCAAGAAGTCCAAATAAGACCACGATTAGAAAGCGCTTGAGTTTGATTTCTTTCAAGAATTTACTTAAAAACAAACACTGAGTTAATTACAAGAGTCCTCTTGAACAGGACACAGCAGACCACAGCAGTAATTTCTTGCCCACAGAAACATCAGTCTGAATTATTTACATATGACTAACCTTTACAGAGTTAGACCAGATTAAAGATGATAGTGCCTGGTTTTTAGTATAATAATGGAAAGTGATGTTTGAGAAAGCTAGAGGGAACCCACCAAATCCAAGAATCGAAGACCCTAGAGAACCACAGGTTCTCACTCTCCCCAATGCTCCCTGACCTTCTAATACAGTTTCCTCAACCATAAGATTACTTTTGTTGCTACTTCATAACTGTAATTTTGCTATAAATTGTAATCTAAATATCTGTGTTTTCTCATGGCCTTTGGCAAATCCTGTGAAAGGGTCACGTGGCCCAAAGGTTGAGAACAAATGGCCTAGAGAGAGAGACACTTCTAGGGAGGGGAACGGAAGTTAACACCTTAGACTTGAACCCACTTACCAACCTCACTAGGGTGAAATTCAGTACTGAGTAGACCCCACTCCCTACCCCAGAGCCCTTGCTCCCAGGCTAATGTTCACAGCATCCCTGGATTCACTCCAGAGCTAGGCAAACATCTCTGACCTTGGTGAGATGGACCTGGGTTCCCTCTATAATTGCTAACCACAGCCAGAACTATATCAGTTCTATGGGTTGTAGCTTCAGGAATGATGGATGTTACTTAGCATCAATCTTGTTACCCAAGGGATTGCCTTCATTACTCACCCTCAATCTTGGACAGGAAATTCAAAAACATTTAATTTGCAAGTTGCTTATTGTAAAGATGTGTAGAACTTTTACTTGAAATTCAATGCTGGGGCTGTACATTCTTCCCAAGAACAGCACCCATGTAGAAGCCTGAATAAAATTCCAGTTTGCGTTGCCCCTGCCTGGCTGCAGAGGGGTCCAGCTAAGGGTAGACTACATCACCAGACAGGCCTTGAAAACATAGTTACATTGGTCTCAGCAAGCTGAGGGCTCCAGAAAGGGACCCAAACTTGCCCTTATTAGCTGCATCCCTTGTAAGGCTCAGGACTGGGAAGAGCCCTGTTGCTCCTGACCACAGGCTAGTGATTTTAGATGAGGAGTTTGGCCATGAGGTTGGATTACCTTCTCTAGTCAGTCCCCTAATCTATCACATACAGCATACCAATTGCAACAAACCTAAGCCAAGGGACGCCATAGTTTACTAACAGAATAGCAGCACTGGTTTTTGAATTTATTGGAACTAGTGCTCTCTAATGTTGCAACAGTGGGCAATGACTACGGGCTCCAGAGCAAGCAACCTGCTTAGAATTCCTAGGCCAGGCACCATTAAAGACAAACAGTGACAGCTGGAATAAGTGCATAATACTTCAGTGCATGGATGCTGTCAGATGCTAACAAGCATCAAGAGCTTCCAGGAAACTGAGATGTCAGAAACTGACGATGAGGTGATAGATATGCTTGGCCTCTTGGACAAGAATTCACAACAGATATTTTATGGAAAAATAGTGAACTTCAAGAAAATACAGAGAAGCTGGGTACGGTGACACATGCCTGTAATTCCAGCACTAAGGCCGTTGAGGCAGGAGGATTGCAACTTAGAAGCTTGTCTGAGTTAAATAATGAGATCCTGTTTTGTATAATTGTCAGCCAAGAATGGGAGAAATAGTCTTCCCCAGGGATGAACATACCAATTGGCTATCTAATACCAAATGGTCAGTCCTGAAAATGTGCATACAAGTAACATTATGTAGGTTGTGTTTATGAATGTAAGTTTATATATGTGTATATGTATATATGTGTGTCTCTGTGTGTGTGTGTCTGTATGATGTATGTATGTATGTATGTATGCATGCATGTGTGTATATGACAACAAATAATGAAAAATAGAGGCCACGAATTTGGAAGAAAGCAAGGAAGAATATACAGGAGGGTTTAAAGGGAGTAAAAAGAAGGAGGAACTGATATAATTATAATCTCAAAAAATAAAAACCAGAGCTTATCAGGGGTGGAAAAATACATTAGAAACTATCTACTGAAACATGGTCCTTAAAAACACAAAAGGAGCTGAGTGCTGGGGGTGCTACCTTTTCCCCAACACTTGAGATGTATAGACACACGGATCTCTGGGTTCAAGGCCAGCCTGTTCTACAGAGTGAGTTCCAGGACATCCAGGGCTACATGTACAGAACCCTGTCTTGAAAATCATAAACAAAAGCAAGCAACAACTATAACAACAACAAAATAAAATCTCTAGAGAAACAATTGAGTAAGCACCAGGAAACCTTGCTACAGAAAGTAAAATAATTTTTAAAAACTGTAACAATTCCTGGAGCTGAAAAGCAGAACACATGAAGAGGGCACTGATAGCATCCATAGAAAATCCATTTAGCCAAAGAATTGGTGAACTTCAAGTCAAGATATTTGAATATATTCAGGAGGAAAAATTGAAGAGGAATGAAGAAAGCTCATAGAATCTTAGAGCATTATTAAAAGAATAGATACTCAGGTTTGGGGCTTCAATGAGGGCTTCAGAATCCTACAGTTAAATATTTATTAAAAGTAACAAGGGGGTGGAAAGATGGCTTCAGCAGCTAATAAGTCTTTTCTTCTCTGCCAGGGACCACAGTTCAGTTCCTAGCAAAGTTGGGTGGCATACAATAGCCTGTAACCCCAGCTCCTTTCTGACCTTGACTCCTCTTTCCTGCACATGTGGCCTCTATTCACACAAACACTAATGCATATGCACAAATTTTAAAAGAGATAAAACATATAATAAAATAACATGCTGAGAAAAAGTGACAGTCCAGTACTCAGGCCTGAACATCTACACCTCCTTTCTAATGCTCCAGGATCATTGTAGACAGAAGGGTCAGAAAGAATACAAGATCTGAAAAGGTTGTGAAATGCTAGTTTCTGGGTATGCCACAATCAATGCAACTGTGATTTCCCGAGGCTGTCTCCACTGGACTTGTATAATACTGGGCTTGACATCAGTTAAATATGGGTAAGGGAGGGGCTCATGGGCCCTACCCTCCCTGCTGAACTATTGGCTACTAGTAGACTCTGGGAGAGGCTATTATATTTAGTTGTATACCCCTGTGTGACTCACAACGGTCAGTTTCAAACTCATAATCACATGACTGCCTTAGTGAAACTCAGGGTGTCACAAACCAAACCAAACCAAACCAAACCAAACCAAACCAAACCAAACCA